ACGTGATATTAAATATATATATTTATTTAATAATATATAAAAATTATATAAAAATTTTTACATATCACAAAATTAACTTTATATATTATTTAAATTATTAATTTTTTTATTTATTTAAAATTTATATATTTATTTATTTAATAATATGTAAATTATATAAAAAAATTATTCTTATATGTTCTCTAAAAGGAATAGATAAGCTATTACACATTGGATCTTGAAGTTTAGGACAACAACAATTTAGTCCCTAAAACATTTAAGTTGTATTAGGTTGTTCCCAAGACTCATTAATTTGTAACATGTTTCTCTGGCTGCATTTGCATTGTCTTTCTTTCAATTATTATTACTTAGAGAAGTTATCGTGTTTAACATCACAGAAATTCAATAGTTTGAGAAACAAAAGACAAGCCCACGTCAGTTCTTCGTTAGTGTTATGTAGCATCCACTTTATTGTCGCACAAGAACACAGATAAACTAAACAAGCCCACCCTTTTTTCCTTTGATTGTGGGTAACATAATAGGAGGAGGCTTCCATCCCTTTTTGACACTAGAGGTGGGAGGGGAATTCAGACCCTACAAAAGCACGATAGAAGAATACCATCTAACGCGCCCTTGACTGGGGCACCGGTTGGTGTTCCTCCATCGAGATCAGATCAGCAAAGTATAAAAGACGCATCCTTCAAAAATTAAGCAGGGCCAAAATGCAATCTACCTTAACACACTTGAAACAAAACTTAGATCGAAAATAGAAATGAGTGCATCGATTAAATTTGCAAATTTGTACTCAAAACTTGAAACGATGAAACGCAACGATTGCTGAACAAGGATTACACAAAACTACATTTCAATCTACATGCTCGCCTTCACCAACATGTTTAAGAAAGGAAAGGGGATTAAAACGTAATACACATGCTAAACGTACCAATTCGTGCATTCCACAAGAGCACAATTCAAACTCTGAAGCCTCATTGATGGAACGTTAGGGTCAATTGCCTGTGTTGTACCCGGACCCAGGTCAGAAAAAGACCAAATAGACAACCGTCCCAAGTCCTTCTGCCCCCAAGTAAGCCGGGAAGAGTCAGCAATTTGTGAGGAAAAGTCAACTGAATCCATGTTCCTCCCTCGTTTAAGTCTATGTTTGTCCCAACTTTCAAAGATAATGTTTTCTCAATGGTGCTTTGGTATCAGAAATTTTTTAGCTGACACTTCACAGTCGTAGTATGACCAGGAAAAGGAAAACAGTTTCAAGCTGGCAGTAATTGCACACCTTTACCACACTCCTTGCCAAAATGATGAAGTGTTTTGCTGTCTGAAGTGAACCTGGCAGACAGAAGAAATGCAAACTTTCATGAATCATGACTTGGAACGGTACCTTGTCAAGTTGGATCAATCTTCAGTTCAACATGGTAACATAACATCTTTTGCATCTGAAGAGGCACGATGCAATGTGAGGTCCACCCTTCCAGCTAGGATGTAAAGTGCCACATAAGAATCCCTTCACAAACTATATCACCGCATTCACACCATGGACAAGATAAGGCCAAACTTTAGGAATGAAAACCAAAAGTAGAAAGAATAAGAAATTTCTATGTACACTGGTTTACAGTATCAAGTAGTTGGTTTAATATCTCTGCTTCGCATGTACATTAAAAATTGAGTGGAGAGTTCTGCTAGAAGTGCTTGAACCACAGAAATTTCTCCAGCTGCATGTGAAAGAGATGTTATAACTCAAGTGAGTCTATTTGCTTATTGTTACCAGTTAATTGTTTAATATGGTTACTTACCCTGTACATCCCGTAATGGCACAAATTGGACAATATCCCGTGAAGCAACACGTCCAGTTGAACTTTCTAGTCTTTCTCCCTTGTCTGCATCTAAAATCTGTCGAGGAACAGCAGAAGATTGGTTATTTAAGTTGATTAAAAGTTTCAGACAAGAACAAATGAAAGGAGAGCAAACTAGAACAATTACCTCCATTTCTTTGAAGTCAGCTCCCCCAACTCCAACTATGAGGATGGACAATGGCAGATCAGACGCTTTAACTATTGCATCTTTTGTTTCTTGGAGATCTGTTACTACCCCATCCTAGAAAATTTTAACAAATATCAGCAAAAAGAAAGACAGGAAACCTTTCGCAATTATAAAATGAACCATTGTTGCAAGAAGGTACCAATATGGCATCAGATCCAGCAAAATTAGCAGAATTACAAAATAATTCAAAAACAGTAATTTGTAAAAGCAACCATTTAAGTAAGAGGATTAAGTATTGAATAAACTACTGATTTCAAAGAAAGCCTACGATGTTCACAGCAATTGTCATCTGTAATCTTTAGCTCTAATCTTACCGTTATTATTAGCAAAACAAAGTACTTTTTTGCACCACTGGTAAGAGATTGACTAGCAAGAAGTGCAGCATTGCTAATTATGGGTCCAAATAGTGTTGGCCCAGCAAGTGAAACATTAAAGAGAGCACTGGTATATGCCATCATAATTCCTTGGATTCCATCAACCTGTAGGACAGATAGGTGCGCAGTTAATATTGTCCCACATAGAAGAAAGTTATTAAAAGTTTTAAAGTTATTCCTGCCGATACTCCACCTCACAGTAATTACTGCTTCCATTCAAGTTGAAACAATGAGATACTGGACCATCAATGGGCCGTGCTCCAAACCCCCAAGCAGGAAAGTGCTTGTCTGCATCATAAAATTGCAATACCTCTCCAACCTCAAGGATTGCCTGGAGAAATAAATGCATACTGTTTAAAAATAAGCCACTAAATGGTCAAATAAAAACAGGACCTAAAATAATAATTATGAAAGAGATCCATTTCTTACTCTCTGGTATGCATTTGGCCGTCCTGACGGATCAATATAATGCAAGGAATCAGGGAGGCGTGGATTTCCATTTGAAGCTGAGAGAGAAGGGTTGGGAATTACTCTATATATAAGAATGTAAACTATTGCCTCAATTTTATGCATGTTTGACATGTCTCAAGGCATACTTTTTTGAAAGTGTTCAGTCAAGCAGCATGTTTAAAATCTTCATGATGCAGCATACTATAATTTCTGTGCGTGTACATGCTTGTGTTTTGATACCAAGGTATACATGGCCTAACTATTCACTAATCACGGATATTCCTATAGGTAACTGAAAAAATAATTAATTATTTATTTGTCAAAGCAGTTGTGTAGAGCATTAAAAAGCAACGTGTTCAGAAAAAAACCGAAAGACAGGTGAGAAGAAAATAAATAAATGGGTCCAAAGAAATAATTTCTAAGTCAAATAACATAAGCCAACGAATAGAAATTAGAAAATACCAGTGAAATCAATAGCAACCATGAAGTTCAGTTCGAAACCACCAGCGAGGTAATCCAGGAAGGTATGCTGAACACTCTCAGAGAATTTGTCCACAAAAATCCGGCTCTTTAGCACCTGCATCACAGTCAAATTTGTAATGTTACAACCAGACAGATAAAAAATTTCTGTATGCAATTAACTCTAGCTCTTAGAGTTAAACCTTGTTTTGGAGACTATGCCCAACAAGAGTTGGTAAATATAAAATTTCTCCTTCCCTTCTAGAATGAATCTTTTCCAATTCTGCAAGTGACTTCTCAGCTTTTCTGATAAAACAATAATCAACAAAAATAATCATTACCAGGTTAAATGGAAATTGGCATGAAAATGAAAATATAAAATAAAAACCTGATTACCCAATCAGATCGTGCTTGCCACTGCTATTGAAGTTAAAGCACTCTATTACTAATGGATTTTCCTGCAAATTAATTTCAGATATAAATGATGAGAAAATAAGAAATAAAAAGGTAGGCAAAAACAATTGGATTTTAAGCAGATGATAGCTAAAAATTAAAGATAGCATATAAAAAACAACAATAGTTAAGATGTTCTGACTTGACAAGGATTGCATATACCATGGAAGAACCAATTGCAAGAAAGGAAAGATACTATTGTGTCAGGTTGGTGAAATTAGACCATATTCTTGCACTGCCTATGTAAGCTAAGTAAATGAATAGTTTACCTCGTTAAATACTAAAGAGAAAGACCAACAAAAAATGGAAAACTTTGCCAATACCTTACTTCCAACTTGTTGAATATTTAAAAATATTGGTTTCCATGTTGGCTTCAGATCATTTTTTATGACTTCGGTTTTACACACAGGAACTTGATCCCCACTCTCTACAAGTTTGGATATAACCAAAAATGGATCCTGAAAGACAAGTTTGAAGTTTGAAGTTTGAACATATAACAAAACATAAATAATGGTCCTCATTAAAAATAACAAAAGGAAAGAGAAATTAAAACTCAGCAATCCATACACTTTTCGATAAGAGATCCTTTGATTCCAAATCTGAACACCTCAATATCATCTCTATTGTAGTCTTCGAGCTAACACGTTCCTCAGCAAGAACAGTAAGCTTTCCATGGTGCCGAAGATGGGTTGATGTGCTAGATCCTCTATGTACAAGATCTAAGGTCAATGACCTGTTTGATTTGGTGACAATCTGCTGGGATAGAAAAATTATTTAATGGGTACCTATATCAAAATGTCTATATTAATTATACAAACTGAAGCACAAGTTAAGGATAAGGCTAAGTGTGATTTAATAGTTTCAGCATTCAACTATTAGTAAATCTAACTGACCTGTCTGACTTGTTTAGTGCAGTACAAAACAAATCAATAAATAATAGCATTCAAATTCCCTGGTCAATATGGACATTAAAGTGAAAGAAAGATGTAACTTAGAAGACACTATTGTCATACCTCTGACAAGGTACAACTTGCCTCCCCAAGAAATTGTTGCTCATCCAACTGAAGCATCTGTACAAGTAAAAGTGTAAGTTGTTAAATTTATGCTTTCATGCTCTTGAAAAATTCTTGTACTTCTGCTTGTTCCTCAAGCCACGTCATTGGGAAACAAGCAACAGAATATATAATTAAGACAATAGCCAGGTATAAGCAAACAGTAGCCTACAACAAAGCTGATTGCAAAAACAGGTTGAAAAACATTTCCCTTAAAACTTTGTTATTGGCTAAACTACTGCTTGCGGATAAAGAAAACAGAGGCTGGAGGAAAAGTTATGGCAATATCACTAGAATATACCTTTACATCGATGTTATGAAACTGAGTGTCAACATCAAAGACATGAAACCTGTGATAAATTGTAATCTAAAATTAAAAAATAATAAAGAAATAAAAAATCATTTTGCCAGCCAGAAATTCAGGATTGGAAGAATTGAACTTACAGCATGGTTTGGACAGTCTCAAAATGATAAGAAACTGTGTGTTTTGTGATCCATGTTGGATTCAATGAATTAAGAACTACTTCAGTACGGCCTACTTCTGTAAGTGTTCCATCTTTCCCTTTTGTATAAATCACCAACATTGGATCACTCTATAATAATAATAATAA